ACGGAATAGGCATTCGTAGCACTACGTCGTTTGTAAGCCAGTAATGTAGTATAGAGTTACGTTAGGTCGTACTGTTACGAACGCTTTGTGGATCGGTGCCCTGAACAATAATGCCCAATGATATGGATACTGTGTTAGCTCACATACTTACGAAAGTCGGGAGACGACATCGTATGTAAATGTTTACTTTTGTTAATGATGAAATGAAGCTTAACACGTGATGAAATGAAGCTTAACATGTTCTGCACGAATTGCATCCTTTTCATACGTGAATCATTCTCGTGGACACTCGTGGGACACGATGACATGTGTCAACCAAGTCAGCGAGCCTGACCACCCGAACCCGTTAGTCGCCTTCTACGACAAGCATGGGTTGCTGAAAACCAATTGTAACCCGGATCAGATTGAATCTACACTGCTTTAGCAATTTTGCTTCCTGAGCACCGAAAGAAGACTGTACTACTACTTGATAAACTTTATCGATAACAACTTTTTTTTATTTCGTGAATGCGACGTTTCGATATAGATTCGTGTACCGTTGTAAATTAAGAATGTAAAAGAATCTGTATCGAAACGAAATAAAGGAAGTTGTTATCCATAAAGTTTGATATTGTACTTTCCATCTTCTAAAGTGCCAATTAAGGAAGTTTGCACATGTTTACTACTTTACGATAAACGAAGAGACACCAGCATGATATCGTCCTGTGTTTAGAAATAAACAGCGATCGTGTAAAAAGATTACTCCTGAAAATACAGCACAACATTATATACATTTGAACTAAAATACTCTTTATCATATTTATCAACATAATTTTACTTATACATGCTTACGTTTGTTTTGGATCTCCCATGTTGGTACAATGTCTGAAGACAATTCTCAACTCACAGGCCGAAACTATTGCCAAGTGTTGCACATGCTTTACACATATACTTATCCACCCATCAGGACCCGTGAAGATCCGGGTTAGAATTGATCTTCAGCAACCCATGCTTGTCGTACCCGTGAAGATCCGGGTTAGAATTGATCTTCAGCAACCCATGCTTGTCGTAAGAAGCGACTAACGGGATCGGGTGGTCAGGCTCGCTGACCAGGTTGACACATGTCATCGTGTCCCAATTGCATAGATCGATGCTCATGCTGTTGATCACTGGATATCTGGTCCGGACTCTGATTATTTACAGACCGTCGCCATATAGCTGGAATATTGCTGAGTGCGGCGTAAAACTAAACTCGCTCACTCACTCACTCACTCACTCACTCGATTATTTACAGACCGTCGCCATATAGCTGGAATATTGCTGAGTGCGGCGTAAAACTAAACTCGCTCACTCACTCGATTATTTACAGACCGTCGCCATATACCTGGAATATTGCTGAGTGCGGCGTAAAACTAAACTCGCTCACTCACTCACTCACTCGATTATTTACAGACCGTCGCCATATACCTGGAATATTGCTGAGTGCGGCGTAAAACTAAACTCACTCACTCAATCACTCGATTATTTACAGACCGCCGCCATATAGCCGGAATATTGTTGAGTGCGGTGTTAAACAACTAACAAACAGTCTCCAGAAAATGTGTGGAATCAAAGTTTGACGGCGATATTAATGCTTCTTTCTGTTTCAGATACGCTCTTGAGCTGGGTTTAGGCATTGGGGCAGGTACCATTGTACTGCTGATCATAAACGCTGTCATCGTCTGCTGCTTTGTCAAGTCCATGGGTTATACCTGGAATGACTGCTGTAAAGGGGAGAGTTACCTCCCCTGAAGTTTTCCTCCTCTAACCTCTTTCTCATGCAATCGGTAATCATACCCCAGTCTGAGGCGACAAAGATTTATAGTTTTGTCGATGACAGATGATATTCATCTATGCTTGCATCATTTGGAACACTCAGTTTATTCCATCGTCTGTAATATTTTAGCTGAGTGAACCCCTGTGTGAGATATATAGTGTAACTGTGTAAGGTGCAGTGAAACTGATTACTATGTAGGGTGAGACGAGTGATGGAGTACAGTGAAACTGATTACTATGTAGGGTGAGACGAGTGATGGAGTACAGTGAAACTGATTACTATGGAGGGTGAGACGAGTGATGGTGTACATTAAAACTGATGGCTAAGTAAGGTGACTGACTGAGTTTTAGTTTTACGCCGCTTTTAGCAATATTCCAGCAATATCACGGCGGGGACACCAGAAATAGGCTTAACACATTGTGCCCATGTGGGGAATCGAACCCGGATCCTCGGCGTGACGAACCAACGCTTTAACCACTAGGCTACCCCACCGCCCCCCTAAGTAAGGTGAGATAGTGATGAAACACATTGAATATAATTCCTATGTAAGTTACGATGGCGTGTTTTCCACCCTTTGGAGACTGTTTCGCGAAATGCCACATCGTTTCTTCTGTGGGTTTGACGCTCTACAGTTTGAATAAAGCTGCGTTGCTTGGTTTCAGGTCGAGACAAGTCATTAGACATAACACGGAACAGCGGCACGGGGGTTGTTTACAGGACTACCCGACAGGGTGCTTACAGAACTACCCGACAGGGTTACAGGACTACCCGACCGGGTGTTTACAGGACTACCCGACAGGGTTACAGGACTACCCGACCGGGTGTTTACAGGACTACCCGACAGGGTTTACAGGACTACCCGACCGGGTGTTTACAGGACTACCCGACCGGGTGTTTACAGGACTACCCGACAGGGTGCTTACAGGACTACCCGACCGGGTGCTTACAGGACTACCCGACCGGGTGCTTACAGAACTACCCGACAGGGTTACAGGACTACCCGACCGGGTGTTTACAGGACTACCCGACAGGGTTACAGGACTACCCGACAGGGTTACAGGACTACCCGACCGGGTGTTTACAGGACTACCCGACCGGGTGTTTACAGGACAACCCGACAGGGTGCTTACAGGACTACCCGACCGGGTGCTTACAGGACTACCCGACCGGGTGTTTACTACCCGACCGGGTGTTTAGGACTACCCGACCGGGTGTTTACAGGACTACCCGACCGGGTGTTTACAGGACTACCCGACCGGGTGTTTACAGGACTACCCGACCGGGTGTTTACAGGACCCCGACAAGTTTACAGGACTACCCGACCGGGTGTTTACAGGACTACCCGACCGGGTGTTTACAGGACTACCCGACCGGGTGTTTACAGGACTACCCGACCGGGTGTTTACAGGACTACCCGACCGGGTGTTTACAGGACTACCCGACCGGGTGTTTACAGGACTACCCGACAAGGTGCTTACAGGACTACCGACCGGATGCTTACAGGACTACCCGACATTAATTGAAACGCTTACTACGTACAATGAATTTACGCACTTGACTAAAAATATTTTCATTTATATTTTGGGGGAGGCTAAGGCTGCTGTACAGAATATACAGTCACTCGGTGATATATCATACAACAAGCAAAGACGTTCAGCTATAGATGTACAAATTCGTTTTAACACTCTCATGTTAATGTCATCAGGTCCACTAGCTTTGTTTGCTGGTAAGGCCTTAATCATCTCAGATACCTCCTTTTCGGTTACAATGACATTTGTTATACTGTTAACACAGCGATGGCTAACAGGTGGCAAAGTCTTGCCGCCGTCATTAACATTTGAAACAGATAGAAAATATTCATTTAATATTTGAGCGTTATCCAAATCTGTACAAAGTGAAGGTATCCCAGAATCATCAGTGACAAGAAGGGGAGTGGGCCCCGATGAAGTAGTAACCACCTGATTGAGTAGACTGAGGTGATAAATAGTTATCAACATTAGATATAAAGTTTTCCTTGGCTATTCTTTCAGATTATTTACTCTATTCCTTTGCATTTTGTATTGTAAATAGCTCAGAAGTATTCAGAGATCGAAATGCATTTTTCCTTAGACGTTCTCTTTTCTTTTAAGTATGTAACGAGGGGCGTTGAAAAAGTAGTCAGCCTAACTATATTCTCGATGTCCAGTGTTTCCAGTTTATTTTGCAGGAATCATTAGCAGAGTCATATCCAAAATTTCATGTCAGTTATGTGGTTAACGAGACATCACAACATATTGGGGTATAATGTTTCTTACAACTTTGCAGAAAATGGAAAACGATCTGCCATTTGGTATCTAGTAATAGTAATAGTCCGCTTATATGGCGCTCATATCCAGGCACATTGCCTGCTCACTTACGTTTTTATTACAATTTACGTCAAGTTTATTACAATTTGCTGCAAGTATTACAATTTGCGTTTCAGTCAACCGACTGAGACAGCAGCTTGAAAGTGGATGAAGATCACTATTCAGTTCCTGGACGCAGCAGGTCACTTATTGAAGCTTCAGTAAGCTACAAAATCCAAGTGCAGTGTAATAGTTAACAGCAAGTGCCATTTTGATTATTGTATTGTATTGTATATTAGTATTATCATTTGCTATGAATAAAAATATGAAAGGAATACATTTTTTATATTTTAATGGAAAAAAAGCACTTTGGCTACATGTGCTACTAATGAAATTAAATTAAAGCTAAGGGAGATTCCATTTATATCTGAAGGGGGTAAACTTATTACTCACGCATTAAATAACAGTAACCAGACCATAAATTGTTGTTATAAGACTGTAGGCGAAATGGGATGTAGGCGAAATGGGAACATGTTCGAGTAATTAGTTTTTCGATTAATATATATTTTAATATAATTCAATTAATGTCGCCTATAGACAAAGCATTTATCCGATTTTTCCATGTGTCGTTTTAAAATTTGTGATGACAACGAACACACATCGAGAGTTTATTCATAATGTTCTTATTAAAAATACAAACAAATGAGTATACAATAAAATGCCCCATTACATTGTGTAAATCGGTTGTGGTGCGTTTTGTTTTTAACGTTTTTGATAGGTGGACCCGTAGATATGGTGAAAACCCACACAGGAAATGTCCTATCCTTTAAATCCATGTGTCTATTATTTCACGGGACACTATTACCTGTGACACAGCTACAGTAAACAATCGTCAATTCAACAAACGGTAGTACATGGAGTCTGTACTCAGAACATCAACCCTCCCTGTTGTGTGTCTTCTAGTTGTACACTATGTAGCAGGTAAATCATTGTTTTACCCACACTTGTTACTGTCTTATCGTAAACATAATGATTATAGCGGTACTTCAGATTCAAAGGTTTAAATTGAATACCTGTGACATACCTGACTACCTGACCTACTTTCACACCTGTAACCTCAGACAGTAGAATGTGAATACACTGAGACCTCATATCTGCCACATGTATCAAATCAAAGGTGTAAATACATATTTTCAACTTAAACTAATAATCATCGTTTATCACAGTAATAATGTATATTGGTTGTACTGTCCTTATGTCATAAAAACGGTCCACGGATAATAGTGTTCCCTGTGATATAATATGTGCTATATGTGCAACACGCTTAAATGTAAATAGAAGCATTATTTATAGAGACCCAGGGCGGCGCGGCGTGTGACAGCCCCTATATCAACAACGGGAGACCAGTTAATATACCAGAAGGTATGTATGTATGTATCAACAAAATTGTAGATGAAGACCTTATGAAATATGATACGTCCGACACTTGTGTGATATGTTGAAAATACAGCTGTCTCCAAATAAAACTTTGGTCCCTGCCCAATCTTAATTTGGCCATCCCTATGAGGTTTGTTGAATTCGAATTATTTCGGCTAGTCCAGCAACTTAAACACAACGATGTTTAACTGTTCAGTCACAGTCAAGCTGAAGAGAAAAACTACAGATAGTAGAAGAGACTCCACGTGTTCTTCCCTATATGAAGATTTCGGAATACAAGTTACAAAAAACGTTTAGCTGGAGTGCGGCGTTAAACAACAAAACAAAATACAAATAGTGTTTAATACCAGATCGGAAATATCAAGTGGTTTCGATAAAGAAACTTCACCAGGTCATGATGACACACAACATCTCACCAGGTACGTCATGATGACACACAATCAATAAGTCAGCAGGTCACGGTGACGCACAATCAATAAGTCACCAGGTCACAATGACACACAATCAATAAGTCACCAGGTCACAATGACACACAATCGATAAATCACCAGGTCACCATGACACACAATCAATAAATCACCAGGTCACAATGACACACAATCAGTAACACACCAGGTCACAATGGCACACAATCAATAAGTCACCAGGTCACGATGACACACAATCAATAAGTCACCAGGTCACGATGACACACAATCAATAAGTCACCAGGTCACAATGAGACACAATCAGCAAGCCACCGGGTCACGATGGCACACAATTAGTAAGACACCATGGCCAGATCACGATGACACACAACAATAAGTCACCTTATCTGAGCACCCGACACTTCAAATCACAACGTATGACTTGTATGAGACAGGAACTACTGCAGATTAAGAACCTTGTTTGCTATGCTATTAAGACAAAAAAACGTCTACTACAAACACACGTCTATGATTCTGTTTCAGTCTCTTTATGTTTGTGTGTTGTTTAACGCCTCACTCTGCAATATTCCAGCTATATCACCGCAGTTCGTAAATAATAAACCAGACAATCCAGTGATTAACGTCATGAGCATCGATAATATGCATTAGCAAAGGCCACCCGATCCTGAAAGTTGGCTTTTAGAAGCATAGTTTGTTGAAAACTTATTCTAATCCGGATCTTTAATGGTCCATTTCAGAGGAGTATGCCAAGTACTGCTGTAAGGCGAAATATTACCCCCCATTCACCACAGCCTCCCGGTTCGACTGTGCTTCGGAAGGCGGGTGTTGCGGGGAAGTCGACAAGCAGTACTGCTGTGATCTAGACAAGTAAGTGTCATTTCTATTCGGGAAAATCTAATCAACCCTTCATAGGAACTCTCTTCATGAGCGGGCGAATTTGTCAGCTTCCAATCAGCTTCGCGGCCTCTGAACAGTTTAAGCAAATAAGTAATACCCCTATCAGCCTCCTGATCCTCTGAAAGGGCAGTCTGCGCCATTCCTCGTGTAAGGCAGCTTCCAATTGGGTCAGGTTCTGTATAGGAGGATCCCTTTGTTGCACACGAGGACCAGTCATGTCCCAGATATGCTCCAAAAGGTTATGATCGGGGCTCATTCGATCGTGAGATATGTTGGGGGGTGCTTAACTAAGTTCTTTGTGTATATTTCATCCTTGTTGCCCATATATATCTACCAACTTTATCGAGTTGATACAACATGAAATAGCAGGCCTTGGGATAGTCTGTGGTGGGTATTATATACAACTTTTAACCAATTTTATATGACATACTGTTCAAGGATGCTATATGTAGGGTTTGTATTCACAAGTTTTCTTTGAAATTTACAACTTACATTTTCTACTTCACCTGGACACTTTCAAACCACTTCTATTTTGGCTATTGTATTACCAATTCGCCACCCAAACGAGTACATCGTATCTGTGCTTTGTAAAGGAAGTAAGAAATGAAGCCGAAACACATAAGAAAGCTTACACGTGATTGGTTCAAGAAGCACCTCCCTTCTCTTCTGATTGTGAGAGAAGGAGTTGTCAGATCTTGACGCAGACAGGTTTCGTATCGGAGAGACTGAGTGTTTATTAAACACAGGGACTATGGTAAGTGAAGAGTATGCATGAATACTTTATATTCACGCTATATTGCGACGATCTTGGCCAGGCGAGCGACATCTCAGCAACGATAATTTATGCTTCTTGTCTGTTTCAGAGTCGCTCTTCAGTTGGGTTTAGGCATTGGGGCAGGTGCTATTGTACTTCTGGTCATAATCGCTGTCATCGTGTGCTGCTGTCTCAAGTCCGCAGGCTATACCTGCAATGATTGTTGTAAAGGTTAGAGTTACCTCCCCTGAAGTTTTCCTCCTATAACTTCTTTATACCTCCATTTAGGAGTTTTCCCCACAACCTCTTTCTCAGGCAAACATACACTACTGTGCTACTCCAGACAAAGAATTATAGTTTTGTCAATGACAGCTATTCATCCATGCTCGCATCCTGGGGCACACTCTGCATAATATTAAGTTGTGTGAAACACTTGTGTAAGATACAGTGAAACTGGCTAGCTTTTCCTGAAACGTTCGTAGCCTTACTGATTACTATAAGGTGAGAAAAGTGATGAACACAGTAAAGCTGATTACTAAGTAAGGTGATACAGGTAACGAAGTACAGTGAAACTGATTACTACGTAAGGTGAGACGGATGATAAAGTACAGTGAAACTGATTACTACGTAAGGTGAGAACAGTGCTGAAGTACAGTGAAACTGATTACTACGTAAGGTGAGAACAGTGATGAAGTACAGTGAAACTGATTACTACGTAAGGTGAGACGGATGATGAAGTACAGTGAAACTGATTACTATGTAAGGTGAGAAGAATGATGAAGTACAGTAAAGCTGATTACTAAGTAAGGTGATACAGGTAACGAAGTACAGTGAAACTGATTACTATGTACGGTGAGAAGAGTGATGAAGTACAGTGAAACTGATTACTATGTAAGGTGAGACGGATGATGAAGTACAGTGAAACTGATTACTAAGTAAGGTGAGACGGATGATGAAGTACAGTGAAACTGAGAACAACTGTGTAAGGTGAGATAGTGAGTGAGTATGGTTTTTCACTGCTTTTAATAGCAACATTCCAGCAATATCACGGCGCGGACACCAGAAATGGACTTCACACATTGTACCCATGTGGGTCTTCCGCGTGAGGAGCAAACGCTTAGACCAATAGGCTACCCCACCTGTAGGGTGAGATTGGTGATGTAGTATAGTTAAACTAATGTCTGGGTAAGGTGAGACGAGTGTTGAAATACTGATTTCTCTGCAAGGTGAAATAGACATGAAACACATTGAATCTGATTCCTATGTAAGTTACTATGCCGTGTTTTAAACTGATTACTGGGTAAGGTGAGACGAGTGTTGAAATACATAGAAGCTGATTACACTGTGAGGTGAGATAGAGATAAGTACAATCAAACTGATTACTGGGTAAGGTGAGACGAGTGTTGAAATACATAGAAGCTGATTACTCTGTAAGGTGAGATAGAGATGAAGTACAGTGAAGCTGATTACTATCTAAAGTGAGATAGAGATGAAGTACAGTAAAGCTGATTACTATGTAAGGTGAGATAGAGATGAAGTACAGTAAAGCTGATTACTCTGTAAGGTGAGACAGAGATGAAGTACAGTAAAGCTGATTACTATGTAAGGTGAGATAGATATGAAGTACAGTAAGGCTGATTACTCTGTAAGGTGAGATAGAGATGAAGTACAGTGAAGCTGATTACTATGTAAGGTGAGATAGAGATGAAGTACAGTAAAGCAGATTACTATGTAAGGTGAGACAGAGTTGAAGTACAGTGAAGCTGATTAGTCTGTAAGGTGAGATAGAGATGAAGTACAGTAAAGCTGATTACTATGTAAGGTGGGATAGAGATGAAGTACTGTGAAGCTGATTACTATGTAAGGTGAGATAGAGATGAAGTACAGTGAAGCTGATTACTATGTAAGGTGAGATAGAGATGAAGTACAGTAAGGCTGATTACTATGTAAGGTGAGATAGAGATGATGTACTGTGAAGCTGATTACTATGTAAGGTGAGATAGAGATGAAGTACAGTAAGGCTGATTACTATGTAAGGTGAGATAGAGATGAAGTACAGTGAAGCTGATTACTATGTAAGGTGAGATAGAGATAAAGTACAGTGAAGCTGATTACTATGTAAGGTGAGATAGAGATGAAGTACAGTGAAGCTGATTACTCTGTAAGGTGAGATAGAGATGAAGTACAGTGAAGCTGATTACTGTCTTAGTTAGAAGTGACTAACATCGCTTCTTCTGTGGGTTTGACGCTCCACAGTTTGAATAAAGCTGTCTTGTTTGGTTTCAGATTGGAACAAGCCATTAGATTTAACAACATGGAACAACGGCACACGCTCTAACTTCGCTTTAGACAACACATGGGGTGATTACAGGGATACCAGAGAGGGTGTATACAGGACTTCCCGACAGGTTGCTAACGAGAATACCCGATCAAATGCCAGTATTTCCTTCCACCGTGAACGCGACACCGAACCTGTATCTACCATCGTAATGTCCCCCACAGCGCCCCCAGCATATGTTCCAGATGTTCCACCAGATGCCCCGCCCCCGTCCTATACTGAAGTCATACGAAATCCGCATGTATTCCCCCGTACTGATAAGGGCAACGGTATATAGAGCATAGGAGTGAATGAGTGGGCAAGCTTAGTTTTTGCCGGCTTTAGCAATAATCCAGCAATATCACGGCGGGTGACAACAGAAATGGGGCTCACACATTGTACCCATGTAGGAAATCGAACCCATGACGAGCAAACGCTTCAGCAACTAGGCTACACCTTACATCGGGACTGATTAAGCGAAATTGTTGGCACTGTTTCGTGATCCTTGAGTGGGAAAATAACAAAACACTAGGCCTGGATAAAAAAAAATATCAATAATCAGAAATATCGTCGATGGAATCATCATTAATGATGATTGATATGAACATTATGTAATTGATAGTATCATAAATGGACAATTGTGATGAAATAGTTTTACAATTTACTCAGAAAATACACAAAGTATTCATGGACTTCTCCTAAAGTAAGTTCGGGACGGCGTTTTATTGGTAATCCATGCCTGAATATCTTACCACTCACCACTGATTTGAAATATGTTGATATTTTGCGCAGGGTTACTTCTCCGATATTTATCGATAATCGATCGATATTCATTTAACGATGATCGATCTGTAGGATCTACATCGATAGCCAACGCTACAAAACGCCGTGCATAGCAACGAGGAACCAGGAAGTAATTAGCAAATGCAATGGCTCTGTATGTTGACTATGTAGTGAAATGCCATGTATTTTTGTCATATGACAACATGGTTAGTTCAGAGGTACGATTGGTTAAACATGAATCACGCATGTCTCTTGCGATCGCCCACCATCTTGGTCTAAGACGTGTGTTTACTGAGCAGCAACGGTTCTGGATGTCTGTGCACGTGGATAACCAAGATCTTTGCATTGTGTTGCTTATTGTTTAACACCGCAGGGTAATCAAGTGGTTGATATTATTACCGACTTCCATGTCGTTGGGGAATGATGACAAGCAGTGAATCAAGTTACCGTGCCTTACTTTCGGGTCCGCTTAGTACCCTACTTCTGGATCCACATACGATACTTACTTCCGGATCAGCTCAGTACCCTACTTCCGGATCCGCGAAGTGCCCAATTTCCGGATCCACATAATATACCTACTTCCGGATCCGCTTCGTACTCAGCAAAGGCTGTTGGGGCCTATTTTAATGACATAAGATAAGACTTTATATTACATTTTATATTTATATAATTTTTATTATTATTTCTGCGTTTTTATGAAGTTGTGATCATAACTTGACGCTATTATGCCAAGGAAAATAATAATGATTCATAAACACCTACACACGAAATGATCGGAATCCTGCAATGAACTCTGTTTTTTGGCGCGATTTCTCACAATTATGGAACAGAATTCAAAGCATTTCGTCCAGAGTTCCTTTACCTCATTAATGAGGGCTTACGGATGTGTGCACAAACACATCTACTGCGTGCTGTGGTGAAAGGCACTTTCCAAAATAAGGGCTACTTAAAAGTTAGAATTCAAGTAGATTTTACATTCGTCGGGATATGTTTAATATAGTGAATCGGAATAAGATCTTGTCATCATTGATAATACTTTGTGCGAGCTAGTGTGAAGGAGAGTAATTCTCAAAACTTTGGGGACACGTTTGAAGCTTCTTTGATGGGCATTTTAGAAGCTGTTTACGTATACGGAGATTTGGTATTGTACAAAATCAGGAGTGTTGTGAAAAATATACAAAAATACTTTTGCTAAGGAAATAGAACGGTGGCTCGATATATATTTGTACCTTTCGTATCTGTCTGAATCATTGTTTATCCATGACATGATGTGCAAAGTATATTCCTGTCCGAAAATTATTTATTTAACTTGATAGTGATTGTTTTAATTCTATCTTCCCCGTTCTGTGAATAATATTGGGGTATGCTTAACGAATTCTGCAGGCATTCCTTTGTACAGACCTTTACATTACATGTGATTTGAATAAATTTTCGACATACTATTCAGTTGTCTACTTATGTATTAGAGCGATCTATGTAACAAATAGGCACATATCTATAAGTGGAATGATGTTAGGGTTGTTACATTTCCATTTTGCATCTGTTTTATTTTCAGAAGACAATTCTACAGAATTAAAAAAGAACTAACCAGTTTAAATGGGTTTTTTAAATTTAAAGTCTGAATTAAGCCCATCAGAGGATCAGGAGGCTGACAGAAGGTATGAGGAGGAGAGTGCTACCCGTCATACAGTCACATGAGGGTTACTTTTTTGGGTTGAGTCCCATCCGGGATACTAGAATCTGTACTTTACTAAGAAAGTGCAATCCCAAATATAACATATGTAACATTTGTCCACTTTCTAAAAATGGCATTGTGCATTTCATAGCTTTCGGCCGTGGGAGCCGTGCCAATTAACACTTATCAGAGGGGTACACAAAGTCCACAGTCTAGACTACCAGTTGTCCGACTTCCATTTTTGTGGAAGCCGTGGTGGCTGAGCGGTCTAGGCGTATGACTTTATGTGCTGGCGATTAGGTGCCTGACTCTGAGGGTGTGGGTTCGAATCCCGGATAGAACTCAACCCAAACAAGTACTAGAATCTGTACTTTACTAAGAAAGTGCAATCCCTAATATAACATATGTTACATTTGACCACTTTCTAAAAATGGCATTGTGTATTTCTTACCCACACTTGTTACTGTCTTATCGTAAACATAATGATTATAGCGGTACTTCAGATTCAAAGGCTTAAACTTGAATACCTGTGACATACCTGACTACCTGACCTGCTTGCACACCTATAACATCAGGCAGTAGAATGGGAATACCTTGAGACCTCATATCTGCCACATGTATCAAATCAAAGGTGTAAATACATATTTTCAATTTCAACTAATAATCATCGTTTGTCAGAGTAATAATGTATATTGGTTCTACTGTCCTTATGTCATAAAAACGATCCTCGGATGATATTGTTCCCTGTGAAATAATATCTCATATGTGCAAAACGCTCAAATGTAAATAGAAGAATTACTTATAGAGACCCAGGGCGGCGCGGCGTGTGACAGCCCCTATATCAACAACGGGAGGTCAGTTAATGTAACAGAAGGTATGTATGACGTTAACACAGTAATGTGTCGGTGCTAGGTCCACAGTATTACATGGATAACTCTCAAACGTTTTGTCACAGCTCGTTGGGGACGATTTCCATGAAGGTCAAACATAACCAGTGTCAGTGCATGCTTGAAGAAAACGACTTTTATCAACCAAATTTTAGATAGGACCTTATGACCTTACATTTAACTATGCACATAGGGATGCAAAAAACTATATAACGAGAGATAATAGGTAGAAAGTTGGATATTTGACAACATATGTATTTCAAGTATGTATACAAAGTATGCTCTGTATTTCGGTTATTGTCAACTTCAATATAAGGGATAATTTAAAGTTTGATCATGGTTCTAACATTTCACTTTTCGAAAGGTTCTATGTTCATGACACTTCCAAATTTCAAACATTATGTTACAAAACACTGTCAGATGCCTTTCTACAGTTTGACGTGTGCCATGTGTTCTTTATACTTTAAACGAACACCTGTTTCAACTACCCATGTGTTTTCAGCGGGTTGTCTCCAGAGGGACAAGATAGGCAGGATAGTGATTCATAAACACCTACTCATTATATGGTCGGAATTCTGAAATGAACCCTGCTTTGGGGTGAGATTTCTCACGATTATGGAACAGAGTTTAATACATTTCGTCCAGAGTTTCTTTACCTCATTAATGAGGGTTTACGTATGTGTGCACAAACACATCTACTATGTGCTGTGGTGAAACGTAATGTCAGGATTGCTTAAAAGCAGAATTTACATTCGGAACACGTTGAATATAATGAATCGTATTTGTTTTCATGTGTGTGGCATTGTTATGGGAGGGATTTGTAACAGGGATTACTGATGGATGTTGACAGGATTTTTGCAGTTATGTTATGATGTGATTAATTATTTTATCCTTTGATTAAAACTAAATTTGTGCAAGTGAGTGTGAAGGAGAGTAATTCTCAACACTTTGGGCACACGTTTGAAGCTGTTCACGTATACGGAGATTTGGCATTGTACATACCAGAAGGGTTGAGAAAAAGAAATAGAAATGCTTTTGCAAAGGAAATAGAACAGTGGCTCAATATATTAGTACCTTTCGTATCTGTCTGAATCATTATTTATCTATGACATTATTTGCAAAATATATTCCTGTCCGAAAATTATTTTTGTATTTTGTATTAAGGCTATATTCCCCGTTCTCAAATTAATATTGGGCTTAAAGAATTTTGCATGCATTCGTTTGTACAGACCTGTGCATTATATGTGATTTGAAATAATTTCCACAGAATATTCAGTTGTCTACTTATGTATTTTAGAGATCTATGTAACAAATGAGCACATATCTATAAGTGGAATGATGTGAGGGTTAAAACATTTCGTTTTTGCATTTGTTCCAGAACACACAATTCTACACACTTAATAAAGAACTTACCAATTTAATTTTATATTGATTGTCACCAAAACAATTTAAGTCTGAATACATTTGTTTTGTCAATATTTCCGATCCTGACTTAATTTAATGACACTGCCTCTCACTGAGCCTGAGCCTGTCCTGATTGATGTGCTACCTGTAGGGCGGGGCATGCTTGACCGTTTCGCCAACACCTGGTGTCATCACTGACTTTCAGTCATCCACTTATATAAATTCCACAGAAGTTTTTCTCATTACACCAAATGGATTTTGTTTCTTAGGATAGTCAAGACTTTGTGTTCTTTTGCGCTGAGATTAATCAAAGCTAGTTTTCATTCCACGCATTTATTAAAATAAGTGCACTTTACAATACCTGAACTAAAATTTTCGTTAATCCCACCGAGAAATATTTGTGTATTTGCAAACAGTCCAAGTTTATGTTACATTCTGTTCAGCTTTTAATTCATATTACCACGAAGAATTATACCGAAAATTTCACCTTCTAGCAGGAAGAGATAGGGAGACAATAGCTGTCCTTGTCACACTCTGCAACCTAGTTCTGTACAGAAGAATGTAGATGGGTGTCTATTTTGTATGACACAAGATGTAGTATTATCTATAAGAATCTATCTATTTTCTTTCACAAGGCCGAAAGACATTTTTCCAGTGACAATGTTGTAAATTGTTTTAAAACGGTATCAAACACATTTGTAAAGTCTATGATACCCTCAAGAATACCGAACCATCCTGCGGGCTTTTATTGCTCGATGATTAAAGTCATGTTTCGAACACAATCACTTGCCTAACGATACACATGTTATGTGTACTTATGTTTTGACAAGGCTGAACCCCTGGAAACTATATGGAACCAAACTACAGAAAACCATCACCCTATCAACTGCTCGTTCGGTGTTCCAACAAGTACGGTTCTATGCAGTCGGCGCACGACGGTACGATCACGATGACCCACACTGCTATCAAGTCCCCGGTGATAAGCATAGCTTCTGAATGGCCGAGTGAATCAGCTGAGTCAAAGCTTGCAGCTATACTTCCGTTAGTCCTACATTATGGTGAGTCAGCTTTATGGAGGGAAGTGTACGAATGGATGAAGGCCGTCGACGTTTATCAATGATATGAAACCTACCTATGTTGACAAAGCAGTTGCAATGTGCACACAGTATTGCTATACCTTTATAATTTGTTTGCAAGTGTCCCATGGCGGTAAGGGTATGCGTATGGGGGTATACTGTGCGCGTATAACTTGCGAAACAGGTGCTCGGGTCAGCATATTTGCCATGACTCATCTACTTAGGAATAAGATCATTTCCTTTGTTCACTTTAAGAACTCACATTGTTTTCTTTGCATGTTTTCATAAGCAAATTTCAAACTTTACATTTACCATATACGTGATTCGCATTTCTTTTGGAACTGAGTATATACTGACATTTTCCTACATATTAGTTCGAACACATATATTGAGTAAGTATAACAGATAGGAATGATAGCCCTTCGTATCAATGACAAGTTTTCATCTGCCTCTTTGTGGTGACCACCGGGTGTCTGGACCACACCGCCCGTTTACTGCTGTGGGGATGATGCTCTTTGAAACATCTATGTTTACACATTTTATACATATGTATTTTATACATATACATATTCAATAGGCCTCATTCTCATTTAGGAAGATTGCCCAGTGCTGGTCCTCCATACTTTAAGCTGCTCACCAAAGCAAGTTTGGGCAGTTTAGGAATTTATTTTTACTGAATATTCCTATGTATGGCTTGCTCAAAATGTTGGTGATCCGAAATAGTTTCTTTACATTAGCAAGCAGCGCCTAATTGATATATATGTACAAGACTGGCATTACCCAATCAATAATTCATCTTTTCGTGAGCACTATAAACAAGTGAAGTCATCCCTTCTACAACCGGTAATATATATAACATCGCTAAAGCATAGATAACTGAGAAGAGCTTTCTGTAAAATGCGAATTTCACTTCACGATTTTGCTATAAACAGGAAAATACGTGAGAATGGTGTAAATCACTTAGATACAATTGTCCTCATTGTTATTGTGGTATGGAGGATGTGTTTCATGTATTATTTCTTTGTAGTAAGTATTCAGCTCTAAGGAGTAGATAGTTGCCAAACAATTCTGTCGTTGCTACTCAAAGTATGATACATTTGTTAAATGGTACAAATATGAACGTTACTAAATCTGTTACATTATATCTAAAAATGTATTTAATACCAGGTCCCACACGTGACCAAATTGTATTCTGTCGTGTTGTTGTACAATAGGCCATGTGGCCAAAGTACTGAATAAACTCCCAGGACCTTGATTCTAATTTAGACTTATTAACTGCCCCAAAACACGTTTGTGAGATTGTCGTGTTGAAGAGGACACTGAATAATATTTATTTTTTAATGCTTGCATATACGTTATAAACCAATCCTCTACTCACTGTTTACCTACTACCTTTAGCAATACCTTAGGTCCATTACCACCATGTACCTCCACAACTGAATTACTTTTGTACACAGTCATTATGTTATGATTACACAATGCCATTTAGAAAGTGGTCAAATGAAATTTTTTTATGATATATTTGGGATTTTCTTAATAAAGTACAGATTCTAGTACTTTTGTTGGGTTGAGTCCCTCAGAGTCAGGCACCTAATGGCCAGCACACAAAGTCAGCCGCCTAACCCGTTCAGCCACCGCGACTTAAATTGTGGAAAAGCGTAATCCCAAATATAACATATGTTACAACAGTCATTATGCTAAATCCAAATAAGGCTGCTCCGCGAAGATCCGGGTCAACACTGGTTTTCAGCAACCCATGCATGTCTTGAGAAGAAACTTAAAGGGATCGAGTGGGTTATGTAACTGCCGGGATCGATGATCGTTACGTCAGTCACTGGATTGTCTTAGATAGATTACTAACATAACGCCTCCTCATGGCCGATATATTGCTGATTTGGGTATTGAACAAAATACAAACAAGTAACGAAGTCGATATGTCAGGGTGCCAGTTAACACCATCTACTATACGATTCCACTTAAAGTGAGAGAGTTCGCTTTTACAACGCTTTTAGCAATATTCCAGCAACATCGCTGCGGGGGACACCAGAAATGGTCTTCACACATTGTACCCATGTGGGGAATCGAAACCGGGTCTACCTAACAATCTATTGAAAAAAGTATCTTAATTCTTTTCAGAATCTAAATTCAACCTAACGTGTCTGTTTACAAACAAGAGAGGTGTCCTGTCATGACATGCAAATTATCTTACCATATTTAGGTACGATAATTGTACAGTGAGTGGGTGGCTATGATTTAACGCCGCTTATAGCAATATTCCAGCAATATCACGACGGGGGACACCAGAAATGGGCTTCACACATTGTACCCATGTGGGGAATCGAACCCGGGTCTTCAGCGTTTCGAGCGGAGATAAGTTCAGATGAAGTCTGCCTAAAAGGTACTTTGTCATTTGGACTGACAGAAAGTAGTTTCTGAAGAATAGAAGTATATATCAGATAGTTATAGCATTTCATAACTGAACAGATAAATATATTATATAATTGATTCAGTAAGTCTTCTTTTTGCTATATTCCTAGTTGATCCAACAATACGTAAAAAACACTTAGGTAAGCGGAGCACACAATACATGACGTGAGTTATGTCCGGAAACACGTACTTACTATGTCGTTACATGTAATATAACATGTAAGTTTCAAACACATGGAGTTATCGGAAAGTGACTTTTACACGCAGGACAGTCCTGTAACTGGAGGCAATGACATCACGTGATCCTCACTCTTCATATTCATTTCCTGGCGAGAGGTTGTTGATTTCATCATGACGTATGGCCATCAATCATGTCGTGTCATGCCCCTGGTGCTTCTTTTTTCATCTAAATGTGAGATAAAAAGCAACCTCAAGTTTGATATACATCATATATTACCTTAACAAATTGCAGTTCGAAAAAAGAACCAATCAGATCAATTATTTTACTTGTGCAATGCAAAATAAACGGGATTTGTTAAGTGATGATTTTTCATTTTTCCCAATCTTTTCTCCGAAAGTACATTGTTAAAAAATGAAGTTTGTTTCATATTACACTTTCAAAATACGGTGTATCGTGTGTGAATTAAAGAGACCAGAGCCAGCAGCTGTGAATAAGGTGGGAGAAGTGCGTTTCCGGGGATGGACTTCCTGTTGAAGTCAAGTCATTGAATGTAGCCCACACTCCAACACACATCCACACACTCAGCCACACACCACACTGAGAAGATGCACTCAACTATCTGTATATGCCGTAAGTGTTTTTCGTTCAATTTTGACTTCAGGAAAAAATTCAGATTTGTTAGGATTGCAGTTTCTTATTAACAGTGGGATTTTTAATTATTACACCTGACACAAAAACATATCTAAGAATTACATGTTCGTCGTTTGTATTGCTAATGAGATGATCTGAAAAGTTTTACTCGTGAAATGATAACACGATGTCATTCGTTATTGTTGATATTGTAGCTACTATTAAATAGTGTCTGGTTAAAAGCTGAACTGTGACTCATTTGGGATGGTTTCACAGATTTCCAGCAGTGGAACTATATATGTATATGGGTAAACCTGTTTGTTGTGTATAAAGTATATAATTTGAAATGTATTCATACATCTGTGGTATTTCCAAAACTAATTGACTAAACGGTCTTTACTACTGCACATTTATCCCCCGGAATTCACCTTTGTTGGAAGATATTATACTTACACTTTATACAGAAGAAGTTATATGTACATGTATGTTACAGTTCCCTAAAGTGTACCTTTATATATGTCTATGCAATGATTTTTTTAACTAACACACGAAACCTTTCATAATAAAAATACTTACTATGTGAAAAAAATAATTTTATTTTTTTCTTTGTTTGGAGAACTAAAGTTTCGATCACATACTGGAAACCATATCATCACTGAATAAGATAATCATTTTGGGTTATACATTTGCATATAATTGAGGTCCGTGGTATATGACACGTTTGTATCACACACCATCTCCAGAACGTTATGCCATAGGGCAATATGTACCGTTAAACGCATGCTCAGTCCGGTTGAATCATGAGACCCCCCGGCAGTGATCATGTGTATTACTCATCTCGACCTAGTGTCCACGTATCGGTCTAATATGGAAAAGGGTTACGATCGATCGTTAATTAAACACGTACTTATCCAGATAAGAAATTATTTCATTAGCAATTTCATTTGTATCTCTTCAAACGGGTAAAAAAATAGTCCACAGATCTGGTCTGGACAATACAGTACCCTGACCATATAACCTCACAAGTATCATATGTGTTCATAATAGAATATTTGACACATTCCCAATCATTATTGTATTAATAGTTACATCATAATTATGTATGGAGAAAAATGGGGTTTTGCAATTTTGAATGTACAGGATAAAGGTGACAGTGAATGGACAGTCAATACTAAAATAAATAAATAAATAAATAAAATGAAGAAATGAATGAATGAAGAACGAACAAATGAATGAATGCAATCTTAATAAATGTCACTTTACAAGGCTATAATGAATACCGCAGTACACATGTATTTACTATTTACAATGTTCAGTGCCATTGAAATTTAAGTCAGAGCCCACACATTACTAATAAAGTGTTTTATCAACAGTGATGGTCTTCCTGAGTCCCGTCACTGCTATGAGTATCGAAGTCCCTGGGGGTGCGGCCTATGACAGTTTACCCTCCCCCGGAGTTCCCCAACACTCCAGACACAGGTAAAACACTGACACTTGTCAAACTTACGTGGTACCTTGGAATTTGTGATGTGTCAGAACGAGCAAGTTTTGTTGGTCGTTTTAACAAATTAGTAGCAATATCTTGGCGGGTGACACCTGAAATAGGAGTGTGCTATGTTAGGGGATTATATAAGTACATGTGTCAGAAATAATTCGAGTGAGACTTTTCATTTAAATTTACTCACTCACACCACATGTTGCGTTAGTGTAAAAATACATATTTAGTTTATGTACAAAATATTTATTTTTGATTTATCAACATAATTGTATAATCGGTGTTATAATAGGACAATATTTAAATAACACTGCTAATTGTTAAACATTTTACACGCCTCGAGTTATAAACCTATAAAATAACACATAACATAAACAGTCATACATTCGGAGGATCTTGAATCTCTCAATCGATGAAATCTACCTGTTCGAAGACTGTGTTCTCATTATTCATATTTAAGAATATACATTATTCATATTTGATTACATATATTATTCAAATTGAATAACATATATTATTCATACTTACTATTATATATAATTCATGTAATATATATGATATTCATATCTGATATATAATATTCAGTATTCCACCATGACATGTTCGTTTTTGATTGGCTGTTACTAAAACATTAGAAGTGAAAAAAATTCAATAACCACTTCTGAGAGCCGGGTCACTGCGCATAGTGTCAAAACACTACGCAAGAATAATAAGTGCATATTTAAAACGCGTTTTATTCATGGTGCATATGTCATGGTAGAATGGAGATAATCCTATTGTGTTTACATTTTGGAAGTGATTATAGTTGGTTGAACGCTGCTAAATGTCATTTAAAACCGAACACGTGAGGTTTTAAATGAAACATTTAGCAGCGTTCAACCAACTATAATCACTTCCAAAATGTAAACACAATAGGATTATCTCCTAATTATATCTTTCATATTGAATAATATATGATTCATATTTGCTGATATATATACTTGCCCCTCAGACGCCAGACTTTCATCTACTCCTCCTCGACAACGACGTCAACCCCTCCGACAAATGACGGCAGCTCTGCGGTACAAGAGGTCACAATGACCCTGCAAGATTTTGACTCAGACACAGCAGCTGGGTAATATTTTCACTGCAAAACATATCCAAAAAGAGTTACGAGTTACTACATGACATTGTGTGTTTTCAGCTGAACAACCGATAGTTGGACGGGTCTTTACAGGCGTATTCATGCATGCCTACTGAAAAAGAAACAATTGAGATGTGACCAGTATCGGCACTGCGCACCACCAGATAGGAGTGTTTATTAAATGTTTATTTTGTACACTAAAGCGACGGAGATGAGTAAATATTACCTACCATAAATATAGGAGGATTGTGTATTTTGAGATGTCTACTTTGCACACTGCTATGAAGTGTCTCACTGGTATAAACACAGTACCTCTCTCGTATCAAAGCCCTGAAGATCCGTAGCTTGTATCACTCTACCGGTACCACACGCTACCCAAAACATGTGTTTGCCTGTCGTCACAAGGCAGTACTGGTGCCACACTCGCACCCTTTTTCACAAGACCCGTGAAGATCCGGGGTAGAATTGATCTTCATGAACCCATGCTTATCGCCACGTAGCTGGAATATTGCTGAGTGCGGCGTTTAACTACAAGCACAAGCATATTACCTGACTATTCCGGCCAGACAACCAAACATTTCGGAAAACTACTCGGGTGTATCCTTTCAGACATTTCTAGAGCATGCTGGTGTAGAGAGAGTTAGTTGGTTGTTGTTTTACGTCGCACTCAGCAATATTCCAGCTACATGGCGGCGGTTAGTAAATAATCGAGTTTGGACCAGACAATCCACTGATCAACTACATGAGAATCGAGCTCCGCAATTGAGCGAAGACTTATTAATGCAAAATGCCACCTTATAAGTTTTCACTGTAAAATGTTGAATAGACACCTTTGTGTCGAACTTTGATGGGTCGAATTCACGGTTGTCTCGAAGCTTGGTCCCTGGGTATTCTTTGATCAGTCATCCTATGCGGTTGCGTCGAACTTTGAATAACTCCGTGTATTTACGTAGGTCCCATTAACTGCGACACAGCTCAGTCACATAACTGTAAGACCTACTTGCGTTCCGGATACTGTGAACATTTATGCATTCCAGATTCCTGCAATGTCTTCAGCATGGAAGAGATACCTGCGAGCTGGACATCGATGACATCCCACTGAAGGACGTTTTACAAGGGTGTGGAAACAGTTTTAGGGTTGGCTACTACAACGCAGGTACCTCATTCATTCATTCGTTTGTTTGTTCGTGTGTTGGTTTGTTCATTCATTCATTTATTTATTTATTCATTTATTTGAAGGAGTGTGAACATGAATAGGTAAGCATGACGGAAGAATGTAGATGCTAAGCCCGGAGAAGCCACACACACACGCGCCCGCTGCTATAAAATAGTTCAATAATTTTGGCGGTTTGTTAGCCAAGTGGTTAAAGCGTTCACACTTCACACAAAAATCCAGGTTCGAATTCTCACATGCGTTCCATTAAGTGAGCCCACCTTGTTGTCCTCTGTCATGATATTGCCATATTTGTAACAGGTGCGTCTTGTGAGTTTTGCCTAGTTTCACTAATGGAGGGTAAATGTGTGCTTCTCCAAACACCGTCTTAACTTAGATCTGTATGGTTGTAATCTTACCCGGATGTTGGTTTCAGAGTACAAGTGTGTGTGTAATGAAGACTCAGTATCATGTGACAAGTCACATAAGAAGCAGCAACACCGAAAACCCGATGTCAAAGGTGAGTGAGGACGTGTTGGACAGAACACTGTACGGCGTTAATCCTCTCTATAGTTTGACCTCGACTGAAATATATTACGATGCTTTGATCCTCAACACATTTATTTCTTCAGCATGTATCGTATTCAACTTGCATCGGTATTTATCTGTCACGTTTTAGCGAAAGTACTGAATGAATACATCGAACGTAGGACGCAGGGGGGGATAACACTTTTTGAGAAAGGGGGTGCACAGTTCATTTTCACTCGTTTTCTCGAGGGTTTCAATGGTCATTTCACACACACACACACAAACCCCTATTGATCCGCCTGTGGGATGGTGACTTAATGGATTCATCCGAATTCCCATATTACAATATGTAAGTTTGTCTGGTGCAGTCACTTAAACACAGAAGAACGGGAAAAAATTGTTATTTTCTGTTTTTCAGTTTTATCATCGGGATATGTCGGCACCTGAGGCTCAACGTATGTGAGTACATGTATATGCTTATATCACAGGGATTCTTCACATATACCTATCATCGGAGGTGATATAGTCTAGGTTAAGGTTAAAGACCCGGGTTCGATTCCCCACATGGGTACAATGTGTGAAGCCCATTTTAGTGTCCCCCTCTGTCACATTGCTGGAATATTGCTAAAAGCAGTAAAAAATTATACTCACTCCCTCATTTCGTGCTTGTATAATTGGAATATTGAATTATAAAAATAAACTGTATGGTTAGTGATACAACTGAAACAGCTTTTTGTGTTTTGGTAAAAGCACTTATGTATTAAGATACTAGACCGTCATTTGATTAACAAGTGACTCTAATATATTATGATCTGTATTCTTTGCCAAGGTGGCAGTGTTACGACGACGACGACCACGACGACGACCACGACCACGCATACAACCTCTCCATCATCAACCGTACAACCTACCAGCATAACATCACACGTCTCCACTCCCGGAATTGACACACGCGCCATTGAAATGACCACACCCTCTGATGGTAAGTGAGTGAGCATGGTTTAATACCGTCTTAAGCAATGTTCCTGCAACATCACGGCGGCTGACAACATTATGTGCCTCACACATAATACCAGAAAGGGGATCCGAACCCGGGTCATGGACGTAACGAGCCTACGCTCTAACCGCAAGGCTACACGACCGCCAGATGGTAATGGAGTGATCCACGACAGTGTGTCAGTTATGTCATGGCTTGTCATTGTTAAACGTGATACATGACATAGGAGAGTATTATCATTATTATATTTATATAGCGCACATATCCAGGCAACTAGTGCATGCTCAAGGCGCTGGTATTTTTCCCCTCGATCATTGGATGTCAATCTCAAAGGCACATCGTATTATTAGTCTCAACTCCCTGGGAGTATGTAACTCTTGCAGCCACTAGGCGCACCGAGTTTTTATGGCTATTCTCATCCTAACGAGGTACCCATTCACAGCTGGGTGGACTTGGACACATAGTCACAGTACTTTGTCCAACTTCACTGCACATGTGGCCACCATCTGGTCATATTCCAACGGATTCGCGGGTTCTTTTAAATGCACATGGTTGTGTACTGTACACTAGGGGTTGTGACAACACTGAAAGAGTCTGCACACGAAGTTGACTCCAAGATTTTTACAGCTGGTCACAGGTGGTTCGATCCCGGCACCTCATGCTCGCTGGATCGCTAGCCTGGGGTCTTAACCAGCTCGCCCACCGCGCCCCCAGAGTACCAATGTGATGAACATAGGTATAGTAACAAACATCCTTTACCGTCGAAACCGGGATTCGAACTCCACACCAGAGAGTTCCGCATCTGAAGCACACTGAACCACCGAGTTACGACCACTGTTCCTATCTACCCTCCCACTATAAATTATGTATTGTATAGATTTTTGTTATGAAGACATTTTCATACCGTTCATGTCAGTTAGATATGAAAACTAATTGCTGATCTAATTTAAATATGTAGTTATATATGGTTTCATATGACACATCTTGATTTATATTTCCCTTTGCCAGGATCTACGGTTAGTGCGAACTCTACCGTTGGTGCATTCGAGGACGGGAATGGTCACCTGTTGGGTGGCATAATTGGGGGCGTGGCAGGGGGCGTGGTCCTTACCATTTCCTTCATTCTCCTCTGGAGTTTCTGCAGGCGTCGAATGACGTGAGTAGTAATGAGTAAGCTAATGCTGTAAATAACACGACTGTCAACAACACTGTAGCTTTATAAAGGTGGCCTTTGAAAAAAAAACGTCTTTCGACATGGTGTGGTGGAGAGGCAAAGGTAATTTGTATATTGCACAGTAAAACCCACATTAAGCATGTCAACCTACAATTTCTTGTCCTGAAAACGGGAAGGTCCGTGGTTTCAGTCCCCCAACTTTACGACTCAACTTGTTGTTGCCGTGATTGGTGCCCGGGATAAACAAAGGAATGTTCGCCTCTTAGACAATATATAGTGTGTAAGGGGTGCAATCACTGTTACGTAATGATTCTCAAGCTGAAGTTAATGCAGTAGTTAACCGGGAATCAGTCCATAAAAGAACTCGATGTGAAACGAACAAATAGTAATAGGATGTAATTACCAATTAGTTTAAAAAATTAATTAAGTTTAACACAACAAATTACACAATGCACTATAAATGTGGCAGTATGATACAAAAGCAGTGATTATACAATAAACATATCAACAATGTTTCCAAAATAGACTGAGCATCGTCTATTTTTGCTGGCCTTTTTTGTAAATTTAAATATAATGTGAGATGAGATGAGAGGTAAGAGCAAACTCCTCTTATATACCTAAGAAATCTCATAACATATGTCATGGTAACAGTGTTAATGAGATCAGTAAATAACATTTCTTAATATATTTTCTTCTTTCAGAGCGTCCTCTAGTGGAAATGTGACGTCTTCAGATGTGAAGGTTAAAGAAGATGTAAGTATACATGTATTGATGCATAATCATGTTCATTGGAGACAAGGGCAATGAAAAAACTGGCAGTAATTTGGTGATAGTTCATCCGCGGGTTTTCTCTTTTGAAACAGAAGGTGGTCGGTAATGAAACCATTTGACCTCTTTTGGCTCGGTATTGGTATGGATAAAAGAATCGAGTTTTACTTTAGTATTGTCCCGTTAATAGGAATTAGTAGCTGTATGGAAGGCATCTCCTCTATTTAAACTGTTCCAACGTTACATTGAGGTACAGGTTTCCTCATGAAGGTTTTGTGTAAATCAAACTGTAATTTGTATATTTCACAGCAAAACCCACAGGAATCTGCACCGCGTCGGAACATTAAACATGTCAACCTGCAATCTCTTGTGTTAACTTCTGCTATGCAAGTTATCATATCCCGGAGCTGCTTATTCTCCTACTGGATTGTCCGGTCCTTTGATCATTCAGTTGTCTAAGTTATTTATAGGCCAACGTCACATGGCATGAAATACTTCCGTACGGCGTGAGGCAAAAACTACCTCAATTTTCAGGCAAATTTTGTGAAAGGCGGGTGTTATATCTGTAGCTGAAAATACTATACACTGTTGTACTTTCAGGACCGACGTGCCCTCTGTGACAAACACAGTGACGCAGCTAGTTCAGAATATCACACCTACGAGCTTCCGGATGTCATAGGAACACTTCCACCATACGCAACTTCCGCTGATTTGACTGGACCGGAAGTGAGGTCAGGTGATGTCGATGACTATAACCGGCTGGGCGACCACGTGAAGACCCATACCGGACCGACGCATATGTATGACCACCTTGACAAAACAAAGCTGAAATTGAAACAGCAAGTGATAAACAATGATTATAATCACGCAGTTGTGGAAGGGGAGGTAACTGTGGATGATGTTTCGCATCAGGACAACAGGCATGAAACGTCTGGCACAATAGGTGCTGAAGAGCCACCGTATTACACGATTGACCAAGAGGACTCAGGGAAGGGACTTAATCATAAATATTTTGTTTTAGAGAAAACACAAGAAACGCCGGACACACCGCCTTACTCAAAGCTTTCCTTTGACTAACACTAAAGTTTATTCCATTTCAAATGCAATAGGCTATTATGTGTGGCGTTTTGGGATGAATATAACCCTCCGAAGAAACTGTGCTCTATGAATCATAGTATTTGCACTGTTTTGCTGGCGCAACTGTCAAGAAAATATTCATTACCGACATAATCTTTCCACTGAATCTGTCCTTGGCATAATATACCAGGAGAGACGTGCATTCACTGCTATTATAGATGGATTGCTTTATTTACATAGTTGTGACGCTAAAACATAAAAAGAGTAACATATATACACGTGTTTATGTGTGTTATAATAGATAGATAGACAGATAGATAGGTAGATAGATAGATAGATTGATTGATTGATTGACTGATTCACTGTGTGAGACTATAATTATCGTCAACACATCAGGAGTAAAACTGTTGTGAAATTGTACAATATAAAAAAAACATTGTGGTAAAGAGTAAAATCGTTAATGTTCCTATCATCTTGATTAAATGTTTTAAGTAGTTTGTTGCTCTAGTATGGTGATCTACCTTCAGTTGTTGGCGATCTATAGCCCGTTTTTATTTTGTTTTGTCCAAATAGTGCTATTAGTTTTAACTTTCCACGCTAGTTTTAATTCTAATTGTGATATTCTAGTTGTTTGACTGTCCTTCGTCGACAGGTTTTTATAATATACATATATTCCATTTCAATGTCAATTGTGTTCTCGTCACGATATGGCTGCAATATTGCCGATGTGACGTTAAATAATAACTCACTCACTTACTCTTTTGAAACAGAAGGTGGGCGGTAATCAGTAAACCATTTGACCTCTATTGGCTTGGTATTGGTATGGATAAAAGAATCGAGTTTCACTTTAGTATTGTCCCGTTAATAGGAATAAGTAGCTGTATGGAAGGCATCTTCTCTATTTAAACTGTTCCAACGTTACATTGAGGTACAGGTTTCCTCATGAAGGTTTTGTGTAAACCAAACTGAAATTTGTATATTTCACAGCAAAACCCACAGGAATCTGCACCGCGTCGTAACATTAAACATGTCAACCTGCAATTTCTTGTGTTAACTTCTGCTATGCAAATTATCATATCACGAATCTGCTTATTCTCCTACTGGATTGTCCGGTCCTTTGATCATTTGATTGTCTAAGTTATTTATAGGCCAACGTCACATGTCAGGAATATTTCTTTACGGCGTCAGGCAAAAACTACCTCCATTTTCAGGCAAATTTTGTGAATGGCGGGTGTTGTATCTGTAGCTGAAAATACTGTACACTGTTGTACTTTCAGGACCGACGTGCTCTCTGTGACAAACACAGTGACGCAGCTAGTTCAGAATATCACACCTACGAGCTTCCGGATGTCATAGGAACACTTCCACCATACGCAACTTCCGCTGATTTGACTGGACCGGAAGTGAGGTCAGGTGATGTCGATGACTATAACCGGCTGGGCGACCACGTGAAGACCCATACCGGACCGACGCACATGTATGACCACCTTGACAAAACAAAGCTGAAATTGAAACAGCAAGTGATAAACAATGATTATAATCACGCAGTTGTGGAAGGGGAGGTAACTGTGGATGATGTTTCGCATCAGGACAACAGACGTGAAACGTCAGACACAATAGGCGCTGAAGATCCACCGTACTACACGATTGACCAAGAGGACTCGGGGAAGGGAATTAATCATAAATATTTTGTTTTAGAGAAAACACAAGAAACGCCGGACACACCGCCTTACTCAAAGCTTTCCTTTGACTAACACTTAAAGTTTATTCCATTTCAAATGCAATAGGCTATTATGTGTGGCGTTTTGGGATGAATATAACCCTCCGAAGATACTGTGCTCTATGAATCATAGTATTTGCACTGTTTTGCTGGTGCAACTGTCAAGAAAATATTCATTACCGAAATAATCTTTCCACTGAATCTGTCCTTGGCATAATATACCCGGAGAGACGTTATCTATGTGCATTCACTGCTGTTATAGACGGATTGCTTTATTTAGATAGATGTGACGCTAACACATAAACAGAGTAACATATCTACAGAATCACGGCGGGGAACACCAGAAATGGGCTTCACACATTGTACCCTTGTGGGGATTCGAACCCGGGTCTTCGGCGTGACGAGCCAACGCTTTAACCACTAGGCTACCCCACCGCCCCGATAGATAGATAGATAGATAGATAGATAGATAGATAGATAGATAGATAGATTGGTTGACTGATTCACTGTGTGAGACTATAATTATCGTCAACACATCAGGAGTGAAACTGTTACGTCAATTGTACAATATAAAAAAAAAATCTTCATTGTGGTAAAGAGTAACATCGTTAATGTTCCTATCATCTTGATTAAATGTTTTAATTAGTGTGTTATTGTGTTGTTGCATGCTCTTGTACAACCTTCTCTATCTATAAACTTATTCATTGCTGGACCTGGCTTCATGATGTTCTCGGTTGCCAGCATCCGCTCATTAAGGGTTCCCTATTCCTATCATCATCAGGACGGGGGGCACCAACTATGCGCTCCATGTATGGAATCGAACCTGGTCTTTAATATATGAATTTTTGTATATTGTCAATTTATCTGCAGGACAACAAAAGTGACAAAACACTACAAATGACCAGAACAAAAGTTCATACTTATCATATAACCACATATACGCGACCATGAATTGAATATTCTTAGTTTCTCCGATTTATATACTCAGAGTGTGTGAGTTTAGTTTTACGCCGCACTCAGGAATATTCCAGCTATATGGCGGCGGTATGTAAATAATCGAGTCTGGACCAGACAATCCAGTGATCCAAATGGGAACTGATGACATGTGTTAACCAAGTCAGCGAGCCTAACCACCCGATCCAGTTAGTCGTCTCTTACAAGCATGGGTTACTGAAGATCAATATTCTAATCCGGACCTTCACGGGTATTATGTACTCAGAATGTTTGGGAAGCACGTGTGAACTGGCGTCTGGGCGACACTTCTACTGTTCACAAGTCACATGAAATCCAACACTCGATGTCATAATGTCTCCTCTTGCTAACGTTGTACCATCCCAGTGGTAAACGTCGGGGCTCACAGTACATCCCACGCTGACACTAAAATACTCTCTGTTTCCGTCACGTGACGCTCATAATTAAGGTTTCATGGTCATTTCGATCAAACTCTCATGGTGCACGCAGCGAGATGATCACGATGTTCATTGCGTTAAAGCAATGTCTATGTCACGCATTTCGTGATATGCTTGGAAGTAATAATAGCGCGTCTGTTAAATGTAAGTGCCCATGTCACTGAGTTTAACCGGAAATGTTTGCGGAAGTGGTAAGGCCTGACGGGAAACTGACTCAATATTTCTCTTTCTTCTGTTTGTGCAGTGTTGTCTTGTTCAAGTATCACTGCAGTGATGTATTGTAACTGCCGAGTGGTTTCGCAGTTCAAATTGGTCATCAAGCTCTAATTACGCTGTGTGATTCTTCTAACATTGCATTTACAAGGCTTTGAGGTTGTAGATTTTTCTACACATGATTTTGAATAAGATATAAAACAAATATAATTGTTTGTTTTTGTTGCATTTTTACAGTAGCGCATACTCATTACAATTCATAATACGTTACGAAAAAGTAAATGGCAACTTGACCAGTACTTATAAAACGTGTCGATATTTGAATTTATGGAGGCTGCATATTTAGTTAGTCTATACTACTCAGTTAGCTCCCTTTGGATTTCTTTGAATTCTGGCACTTTGTTTTGTGAATATATAATGTTTTGTTATTAATGTGATGATGTTAAGTGTGTTATTATTTCTTTCGGTATAGCCAAGGAAAACCATATCTTGTGATATATTCATATTTATCTGAGATTCTGATAGCTGCCAATTTTTCAAATCATTCCAAACGGAACATATATAATGGCATTCCCAGATCAAATGGAATATAGATTCCTTTTCTGCAGAACAAAAGCTGAACACCAAATGTTTAAATTGCTTTCAACGAACAAGATATAATGCTGGGGGATGGGGTCGTTGTTGCATATTTGTGTCAAGTGATACATTATATCCTCCAGACTGTGTGCATAGATCGATGACGTCCTTTGACATCCACATAGTCTCTGAAATAAGCCAAGTCTGTCATGCAGACCCGGAAACAAATACACCCAGCACAAACCATGTGTCTAGGATGTGTGGCAAATCTAGATAACCACTTTTTTTTACTGTGCAGATCTGTTGACTTCTCTAGCGAGGACACAGCTTCTAATCAGTTAATCGTCTCTCGTTGTCATCATTCGTGTTGAGGGAGACTCCACCATCACTCCCAAAGACCCTGGGCCAAGACCTCAAGAACCTTCTCTGTACCCTGGCCATCTCCGTCCCCACGCACACAACATGTGTTGTTACACTGAAGATACACTGACATACACAATCCTGTAATTTCTTGAGTTTTTCATTCTAAGGTGATCGCAACTCCCATACCTTAACACAGACGTACGACTGGCGTAGCGCTAAGGTTGCTTCGTCCAACGGCACCCTGGTATAGAGAGGGGACGATTTCTGAAAAAATGACTTTAAGGGTGAAAATAAACAGTAACATTGCAAAGGCGGATCCAGAAATTTTCAGGGTGGGGGGTCACACCTTGGCTCCGCCATTGCAAAACATTAACTTCAATGTGGTCTTTAGTCATTTTCAAAAGGGGTGGGTGGGTCGAACCACCTGAACCCCCCCTCTGGATCCGCCACTGCATTGAGAGCTTGTATTGGGAAGGTGTGTTTTCAGGGAGAGGTGTGGGGGAAATAACATTCCTGTCACACATACATTCAGAGATCCTGTCACACATACATTCAGTGATCCTGTCACACATACATTCAGTGATCCTGTCACACATGCATTCAGTGATCCTGTCACACATACATTCAGTGATCCTGTCACACATACATTCAGTGATCCTGTCACACATACATTCAGTGATCCTGTCACACATACATTCAGTGATGGGTAATAAGACTCTTTAGATTTGTTTAGTCTCTGAAAATGAAGAAAGTCTCTATTTTATTATACTTTATGCCTAGGACTTAGGAACCATGTTTTTAGTCAAATATGTTCACTTTAGTGACTAAATGTTAGTTTAAAATTAGCCAGGCAAGTTTCTTAGACATATGGTACAACGATACACATGGGGGAGAAGGTCCTATGTTTCCATTTATAAACTTTAGTGAATGCAGCTGCACGTTTAGTCAGTGTGAAGATTGTTGTCTCTTAAAGTCTCCTTGATTCCCAACCTAACAGCGCAGGTATAATCCCGATCCCAACTCCCACATCACCTATACATCACCATCGGCAGTCGCATTCCGTGACGGTCAGCTACACATTTAACAAATATCCAACCACGTGTTTGTATATGTGTGTGTCTCTGGCAAACGCAAACAGTCGAACAATATCGGGGTGACACATTCAGTTACAAAGATTTAAGTATACAATGAAATGATGACGTGAAACGTTCTGGGCTTGAGATGCTGGAAATATATGCTTTTCATAAAATCGGCATGCATTCTAACTGACCGAAGGCCCGGGTTTGATTCTCCGCGTGGTTACAATGTGTGAAGCCCATTTCTGGAGTCCCCCGGCGTGATGTTGCTGGAATATTGCTAAAGGCGGCGTAAAACCATACTCACTCACTCATTCTAACTGAAAGGAGGCCGAGTGAGCTGCCAGATTCAGTCTGAACCTGTTGAAATCCTAGACTTCCTTTAAGTAAAACTGTAGCATTACGTAACTCCTTTCAGAAGGGGAAGCAGTACGGTTCTGGAACAGACTAACACTTAGTCTCTGAATGTATGATACTTTGATAGTCACAAATAAATCCATCTAAATTGAAAAGGAGACCCAGTGAGATGGGAGATTCAGAACCTGAGGAAATCTAGACTTGGGGATTCCCTAAGTTTAGGAATTTAGCACTACAGGGAGGGCTAGGCAGTAGGGAAAATAATGTGGTTCAGGGAGTCTGAGTCAGATTAAGTTTAAGAACTGTGAGACAGACTAATGTCAAGCCCTACATACAATATCCCTTCCAGGCACTCGACCACGATATGCAACTCATGTAGATTACCAAACAAGCATTTACAGATCGTAAACTATTCTTATCAACCCCGCCAATAAAACAGATTAGTTTATCAGAATATACAATGTCGCATGGAGTAGATTGCGACTACTGACAGCCGACTCTAAACAACTAAATATATCACTAATTGCATTTTGGCAAGTGGCCGCAGACTTCCCTGGTCATTAAACAACCGTCAGCGACATCTGGACTAGTTGAGGCGTTGTGTGGTTCCTCCTACAGCAACGGCCAAACGACGCCATCGCTGTCTGTCGTCTGCTCTATCAGCAAGGACACATTCCCACCACGAGCACCCCTCGAGCAATGCCCGCCTGGGGGACGGGATAAGAGTTCTGAGGGTGAGATAAGCTGGAACAGGAACTCGAGTTGAGTGGGACTTGTTGCGACTACTTGCCGTGTCTTTGTAGTCGATATTATCACGTTTACACCCACTTGGCGCTTTTGTTGTTATTATGGGATGTATTCGAGGCCCATTGTTTCTGATGAGATCTCGATCCTCGTGAAGTGTTTTATAAGTTGTTTATGGTCTTGTTGAACGGTATATAAAGCGACAGTTGCATTGACCCTTTTTAATCATTTTAACTGGATATTTTGGAGGTAAGCTGTCATTTTGTCTTTACTTAGCGTAGCGTCAGTCATGGTTTTGTCCATCTCATATTTGTATACATTTCACTACGGTTATATCGAACTCGAAGAGACCACTAATTTTGGTTTATTTGAGTGGTATTCTAGAAGTTGGTGGTCACTAATTTGGTTCGTTATAACCGTAGTATTATAGTATTATATACAGTTAGAGGTCGGGAAAAGAAAACCGTTCGTTATATCCCTCAGTTCGTTATAAGCGTGTCCGTTATAAATGCAATATTTGAAAACGAGTTGTATCGACATTACTGAAACCATCAGCTGTATATTCGGGACAACGCCTAAGTTATTTCATCTAGAAGTGGTTTATCCTGAGTGCTACCGAAATTGTTTTCCAAATCATCTATCCGAATAATTTGCCTTCTGTGCCTCCCGAGATTGAATGGAATTGGCTTATACGTCCACGTTCATCTCATTTCTGGTGTTCCCTGCCGTGATATTGCTGAGGTGTGCACTAGTGCGTGGATATGTGCGCTATATAAATATCTAATAATAATGATAATAATATTGCTAAAGAGCGGCGTAAAACCATACTCACTCACTCACTCACTCACTCGTAGCCGACTGGGGCGGTGGGGTAGCCTTGTGGTTAAAGCGTGCGCTCTTCAAGCCGAAAACCTGGGTTCGATTCCCCAAATGGGTACAATGTGTGAAACTCATTTCTGGTGTCCCCCGCCGTGATGTTTGCTGGAATAATGCTAAAATACGGCGTAAAACCATACTCACTCACCCGTAGCCGACCAGCCCATATGTATCCGAGAACCAGGCAAGGTAACCACTAGTGCTATCCTTTAACATCTTTTGGCACGACGCGACCGAGGTTCGAAATACTGACCTTTCTCTCTGCGGGCAAACGCTCAATCATCTTGCCCATGGAGGCTGTCCTATCTCCTCTTAGTTGTGACAGCTCTGGGGTTTGGCTGTAGTCAACATCCGAGTGTTCTTCCTGTGCCACTTGTTGTCTGAGTACTGAAGATCAGAGGCTGTGTACTGTGCTCACATGTCTATTGCTGCATGGGCTGTGACCACGTACTGACCAGCATGTCAACACGGAGGCCTTGTCTGTTCTCGGGTGAGTTGACCTAAACACACTGTCCAGACTGGACTTTATTGCAACACATAGGTTGTAACATCGGTTGTAACACAGGTTGTAACATACAGGTTGTATATCCCGGGATTGTGGGATAAGATACGTCCCCAGCAGCCGATATCTGAACTAAATAATGAGGAGAGACCACTAGGATCGGGATGCTAGGCTCGCTGACATGGCTGATGTATGTCAACGAATGCAATTGCGTTGGTCAATGTTCATGATGTCAGTCACTGGATTTACAGACAGCCGTGATATTGGTGAATATAGCTGAGTTTGGACTCATGAACCAGACACCGTAATTAAGGGCTGTGGCCGGGGTATACTGGTCTAAGTGCTTGTTTCCTTGTATAAAGCTCCACGCAACAATATTCCAGATTGATGACGGTGTGTACTTACTTGGGTAACGTTAACGGCATGAAAACGCTCGTTCTGTCTACCCGTGAAGATCCGGGTGAGAAATGGTTTTCAGTAACCTATGCTTGTCGTAAGAGGCGACTAATGGGATCGGGTGGTCAGACTCACTGACGTGATTGACACATGTCATCGTATCCCAACTGTAGATCGATGCTCATGATGTTGATCACTGGATAGTCTGATCCAGACTCTATTATTTACAGACTGCTGACATATATGTACTTGAAATACTGCTGAGTGCGGCGTTAAACAACAACCAACCAACTTGCTTGGGTGTGGATCAGACAATCCAGTGACTCTTATTGAGAAGATGTGAGTCAAACAGGTCAACGAGTCTGACCACTCGATTCCTTTGGCTCGCCAACGATGACATTTAACTCGGATCTCTCTGGGTCTGAAGGAGTATGACTCCTTCGCTACACCCCAATGGTTTGTGTCCAGGGCCTATTTGATTTCATCCTTTGGACATCCACAAGGATTAACTGAGCGGGTTTTGTATCTTCAGAGACACAGGTGCTATTTGCAGGTGAGGTGAGGTGAAATTGGGTTTAACGTCGTGCTTGAGGATATTTCGCTCATACGACGACGTGCATGCGTGTGTATGTGTATGTGCGGCTGCTTGTACTAGTCCAGACTGAAGCTGGTTTTATAGTGCTAGCCCACTGAGATACCATGCCGCAGTGAAGCATGACTACCCCACTCAGACACATTATACTGACTCCGAGCCGACCAGTCCTTGTTGTACCCATTAATGCCGAGCGCCAGGAAGGGACCAACAAGTACCATATTTTAACGTCTTTTGGTATGATGTGGTTGTGGTGGTGATGGGGTGGTGGTTTGATAATGGTAGTCCTGGTGGTTGTGGTGATGGTAGTTGTGGTGAGTGGGGTGGTGGTTTGATAGTGGTAATCCTGGTGGTTGTGGTGATGGTAGTTGTGGTGAGTGGGGTGGTGGTTTGATAGTGGTAGTCCTGGTGGTTGTGGTGATGGTAGTTGTGGTGGTGGTGGGGTGGTGGTTTGATAGTGGTAGTCCTGGTGGTTGTGGTGATGGTAGTTGTGGTGGTGGTGGTGGTGGTTTGATAGTGGTAGTCCTGGTGGTTGTGGTGATGGTAGTTGTGGTGAGTGGGGTGGTGGTTTGATAGTGGTAGTCCTGGTGGTTGTGGTGATGGTAGTTGTGGTGGTGGTTTGATAGTGGTAGTCCTGGTGGTTGTGGTGATAGGTAGTTGTGGTGAGTCCTGGTGGTTTGTGGTGATGGGTAGTGGTGTGGTAGGTGGTGGTGGGGTGGTGGTTTGATAGTGGTAGTGGTGATGTGGTTGTGGTGATGGTAGTTGTGGTGAGTGGGGTGGTGGTTTGGTAGTGGTGTCCTGGTGGTTGTGGTGATGGTAGTTGTGGTGGTGGGGTGGTGGTTTGATAGTGGTAGTCCTGGTGGTTGTGGTGATGGTAGTTGTGGTGAGTGGGGTGGTGGTTTGATAGTGGTAGTCCTGATGGTTGTGGTGATGGTAGTTGTGGTGAGTGGGGTGGTGGTTTGATAGTGGTAGTCCTGGTGGTTGTGGTGATGGTAGTTGTGGTGAGTGGGGTGGTGGTTTGATAGTGGTAGTCCTGGTGGTTGTGGTGATGGTAGTTGTGGTGGTGGGGTGGTGGTTTGATAGTGGTAGTCCTGGTGGTTGTGGTGATGGTAGTTGTGGTGGTGGGGTGGTGGTTTGATAGTGGTAGTCCTGGTGGTTGTGGTGATGGTAGTTGTGGTGGTGGTGGTGGTGGTTTGATAGTGGTAGTCCTGATGGTTGTGGTGATGGTAGTTGTGGTGAGTGGGGTGGTGGTTTGATAGTGGTAGTCCTGGTGGTTGTGGTGATGGTAGTTGTGGTGAGTGGGGTGGTGGTTTGATAGTGGTAGTCCTGGTGGTTGTGGTGATGGTAGTTGTGGTGATGGTAGTGGGAATTGGTGGTTTGATAGGTGTGGTGATGGTAGTTGTGGTGGTGGGGTGGTGGTTTGATAGTGGTAGTCCTGGTGGTTGTGGTGATGGTAGTTGTGGTGGTAGTGGGGTGGGTGGTTTGATAGTAGTCCTGATGGTTGTGGTGATGTAGTTGTGGTGGTGGTGGTGGTGGTTTGATAGTGGTAGTCCTGATGGTTGTGGTGATGGTAGTTGTGGTGAGTGGTGGTGGTGGTTTTGATAGTGGTAGTCCTGGTGGTTGTGGTGATGGTAGTTGTGGTGAGTGGTGGTGGTGGTTTGATAGTGGTAGTCCTGGTGGTTGTGGTGTGGTGATAGTAGTTGTGGTGGTGGGGTGGTGGTTTGATAGTGGTGAATCCTGGTGGTTGTGGTGATGGTAGTTGTGGTGGTGGGGTGGTGGTTTGATAGTGGTAGTCCTGGTGGTTGTGGTGATGGTAGTTGTGGTGAGAGTGGGGTGGTGGTTTGATAGTGGTAGTCCTGGTGGTTGTGGTGATGGTAGTTGTGGTGAGTGGGGTGGTGGTTTGATAGTGGTAATCCTGGTTTGTGGTGATGGTAGTTGTGTGTGTGGGGGTGGTTTGATAGTGGTAGTCCCTGGTGGTTGTGGTGATGGTAGTTGTGGTGAGTGGGGTGGTGGTTTGATAGTGGTAGTCCTGGTGGTTGTGGTGATGGTAGTTGTGGTGAGTGGGGTGGTGGTTTGATAGTGGTAGTCCTGGTGGTTGTGGTGATGGTAGTTGTGTTGTGAGTGGGGTGGTGGTTTGATAGTGGTAGTCCTGGTGGTTGTGGTGATGGTAGTTGTGGTGGTGGGGTGGTGGTTTGATAGTGGTAGTCCCTGGTGGTTGTGGTGATGGTAGTTGTGGTGAGTGGGGTGGTGGTTTGATAGTGGTAGTCCTGGTGGTTGTGGTGATGGTAGTTGTGGTGAGTGGGGTGGTGGTTTGATAGTGGTAGTCCTGGTGGTTGTGGTGATGGTAGTTGTGGTGAGTGGGGTGGTGGTTTGATAGTGGTAGTCCTGATGATTGTGGTGATGGTAGTTGTGGTGGTGTGGGGTGGTGGTTTGATAGTGGTAATCCTGGTGGTTGTGGTGATGGTAGTTGTGGTGGTGGTGGGGTGGTTTGATAGTGGTAGTCCTGATGGTTGTGGTGATGGTAGTTGTGGTGAGTGGGTTGGTGGTTTGATAGTGGTAGTCCTGATGATTGTGGTGATGGTAGTTGTGGTGGTGGGGTGGTGGTTTGATAGTGGTAGTCCTGATGGTTGTGGTGATGGTAGTTGTGGTGGTGGGGTGGTGGTTTGATAGTGGTAGTCCTGATGGTTGTGGTGATGGTAGTTGTGGTGAGTGGGGTGGTGGTTTGATAGTGGTAGTCCTGATGATTGTGGTGATGGTAGTTGTGTGAGTGGTGGGGTGGTGGTTTGATAGTGGTAGTCCTGATGATTGTGGTGATGGTAGTTGTGGTGAGGTGGGGTGGTGGTTTGATAGTGGTAGTCCTGATGGTTGTGGTGATGGTAGTTG